TTCTTTTCAAAAATCTTTACTACTTATCTTAAAGCTGTTTTATCAATTGCTCAATCAAATAAAAAGCTTTCAAAAGCAATATAAACAAAACAAATATAATACTATAACATTTCTATTTTATATAAACTTAATATCTATTTTAAGATTATTATATTGTTCTTATAGATATCCTTAATAATAGATTATAATTTTTTAGAGATTATTTTACTAAATTAATATTTCATCTATAAAAAAAAAATAAGTAATTAATAAATTTGAGTAATAATCTCTATTTTTATTAATTAATATTAAGTTATTAAAGAATATGGAATTTGAGGTCCTTAATAATACCCTAATAATTAGTAATACTTAAGGTCTTTTTCAATTATATTTAATCTAAAGAAATATTCTAAATGAAAAGATTAAATTGAACTTAAACTTACTATCAAATATAGCAGGCATCTTAATAATTATAATAAAGCTGTTCTATTCTTCTTATCAAGACTATACTATTATATACACATTTGTTTAGATAAACAACGCTACTAAGTAGCGTATTACAATTATATAATATATATTAAATCGCTACTTTTTAATACGATTAAGGTAAGCGGTCATTATCTGTGCCCTAGTACTATAAGATGTGAGGTGAAATATGAGAAGGAGGTATTATATTAGTATGGGAATAGAAATAAAGATGATAATACGAATAGAATTAGTAATAGGAATAGGTGAAGAGAATGATGAAGAGCTCGAGAGATATAGTGCTATATACTACCTACTTTCTCAGAATCCCACCACCAAGCAAACGAAAGCATATCTGAGTATCTGGAAATATATCAAAGGATGTATAATTAAAAAGATTTATAATAATTGAGAATAGTAGAGTAGATATATACTCTTGGAGAGGGAATCTATTTGTTCTAGTTACCTCTGAGCGATGAGGTGGATGAGAAATTTGATGGATGGGGGTTGGGAAATGATTTGAGGGTTTAGGCTTTAGGGTGAGAGTTGAGGGGTTTTGAGTTAGGGTGGGATGGAGTATTATGCTGTGTGGTAGTGATTAGAGAAAGGGGATTGAAGGGATTTAAGGGGTAGCTTATAAGTATCGGATTATTATAGTACTAACGTACTACTACTAGCCACTTATTAAAATCACACCTAAAAAAGCCATTTTACTACTTTTGTTATATATAAAATCAACAAATTTAACTAGATATTTTTATGCGAATTTTAATATATATAGTATTTCGATATTAATACACTTTAATAAAATCATATTTTTAATGCTTTTTGAATTTTTTTAAATTATTAACTAACGTAACTTATAGTGAACCGGGTCATATAAGGAATTGGGTCACAAAATTCAATTCTCTTTATATAATCTTGTTCTACAAACTACATATTCATTCAATTCTAACTCTAAATTATTTGAACTACTCTTTAATTCTTTTTCTTTAATCTTCTCTTTTAATTCTTCAATTGAATGTTTACGTAGTTATCCTTGTGGCTTTTTCTCCTTAGATTTTTCCTTTACCTTATATATTATTTTTAATACTTCTTTATTACTAAAGATAAATTGACCTTGTAATTTAATTCTTTTGTTTTTAATTCTTTTTTTTTGAATCTTAATTACCTTCTGAATATCAGCAAGCCATTTCCAAAGTAGGGCTATCTTAATATTTTGAGATTCTACAAGCTTAATCATTCTCTTAATATATCGACAAATTAGTAATATAAAAGAATCATTATTTACTAGAGTTTTATTAAAGGTTTGATTTACTTGTCTTAACTCTGTTTTATTTAAAGAAAAGCTCCTAAGTATAGATAAGTTTAGATCTTAATTAAAGGTTCTCATTTGTAGAATAGAAAGTTGTTGGGAGAAGTTAAATGGTAATGAATTGAGTACTTTTCGTGGGGCAAAAGGTATTAAATCAGCTCCTTTCTAGCCAGCTTTAATATTAAAAGAATTTAGTACTTTTTTTCTAATATTTTGAAAGAGTTCTATTTATTCAGCTCTTTGGATTCGTTTTATACTAGCTCGAGAATATCGATCGATTTTTAAAGTATGATATCGTTTCATTGACCTATACACCACAATATCAAATAATTGAAGTAAATAGGAACAATAAGGAGGTAATATAAGTAAATCGATATTCTTCTTTATATAGAAAGTAATAAAGCTACTTGTAATATGATTTGAATGATTATCTATAATTAAAAGTCGAGATTGATTATTTAACACTTTCTTGACTTCTAATTTGAAAACCCTTTTTAGTTATTCTAATTTATAATTGTTTAAGGTTTATTCATTTGTACTAATAAAGAATTACTAGCTTTGAAATATATCCTTTAGAATTTATATAGAATTTGTATTTTGAGCCTTGAAAATGACTATAGATGATAGAGTCTTTTCAATTATATTAATACATTTAAATATAATTATTCATTCTTGCTTATTAATTGTAACTTTCCAATTCAATTTCTGAATAGAATTGATTATAATATATATATTTTAAATACTTTTAACTTTAAATTCAATTTCGTCTATATTATATATATTATTTAATTCATACTTTTGTTTAATAAGATATAACTATATGAAATATATTAAATTAAATCTGAATATTCTTTAATGTTGTTTTTTTAGTTCGATTAGATTCTAATTGATATGAATAATATGTTTTAAGTTCTGAATATTGTTTTTGGAATTTATAAATTCATTTGTAGTTTATAAATGGAATTTCTATCGAAATAGGAATTCGAAATGATACAACCTGAACATATCGAAGACGAATTTCGTTGGTTATTTTCTTCATCAATATAAATATAATAAGGAATCTAATGATAATAAGTTATGAAATCCATTATATAAGAGTATTTTCTTTTACATTTGAAAGAATTTGAGCTATTTCATAAGATTAAGTATATAATTTCCTTCCAACAACCCTAACTATAAGAATTAACTTAGGAACTTCAAAATACTCTATAACCTTTCTAATTGATTTAAATTCCTTTAATTGAAATACAATAATAACATTCTATATCTTCTCTTCAATTTAAGAAGGTATAAAAGGTGATTCGGTATACATAGTAAAATTTGTTAGGGTTTGAAGTCAATGATGGGCTAAATGTGACCCGGTTCCCCATATGACCCGGTTCACCATAAGTTACGTTATATAATTTAAAAATATATTTATAAAAGTTTGTAATTTTCGTTTATTTTACTAGTAAATTTCGATATTTTAAAAAAAAATTTCTTTTAGTTTTTTTGATTTATCATTCTTTAATATAGAAGATTATTAAAAATAAATAATATAATTTATAATAAATGTCATTTGATTTTTAATCTAATTATATAATTATTTATATAAACTATTGGTTTTATGATTTCAAAATTACAAGTATATTCTGTAAGTTTTGATGAATATTAGTGTGATTTTGATAAGTGACTAGTAGTAGTACACGGTGACTGTAGGTGATTTGATGGCTAATTGTTTGATGGTTCGATAATTGAATAGTTTGATTAGGGGAAATTTAGGTGGAGTGATTTGAGTTTAGGTAAGTAAGCTGGTTTTGTGTGATTGAGTGATTTCGATTGATCAAAAGTTCACTTGTGTTTATGTTTTCGTTTATGTTTGAAAATCATAGGATCAGAAAAGTACTAGCCGAGGGAGGTAGAGGTGGTGCGCTGAGTATGCCCTTCAAATTCCAGGTTTATATACATCGTGAATCTTCTTTAGACATAGGGGAAGAGAATACAAGGTGTAGCGCTGTGTGAGGATCTAGTTTTGAAAGGGTTTCTACGCTTCGAAAGTAAGCAGGTGGAAAGACAGTGGGTGGCGAAGAGGAAATGGTGATGAATCACGTGATTATCACGCACAGAGATTCGAAGACCTACAGTAGTGGGCCCCTGAATAAGCGAGGGGAGAAACATGGAGAGGGAGTATAGAAATGCGCGATGGTATTTGAATGGATAGATGGATGGATGGATGGGTTCGAGAGGGAAGTTTAAAGATCTTAGGGTGGGTTTGATGTTCGGCGAATGAGATGAGTGGATGGGATCATAGGGTGGATGGATTGGGTGATAGGTTAGACTAAGTCAACTAGAAGGTAGGAGAATCAGAATCAAAAACCATATGGTTATCAAGTTACATAACTAGTGCAAATGCGAATGTAAATGCAACAAATCCAAATTGATAGTAATTCATTTTCTAAACTCGTCGCAACTAAATATGTTCCTTGAAGATTCAACCACAAAAGTTACGAGTAACTAATGGGAAGGAATCTAAAGGATGATCCTCAATTCAGAAATATGTATCCAGCCAATAATATGACAGTAAAACACTTTTGGGGGGTGGGGGAAATGTGGAAGTGAGAGCGTGAAGGATTGTTTGGATGTGAGAATGAAAGGAGAAATGTGTAAGGAAATAATGAAAATTTCCGGAGTTTCTGGCATCTCCCCATCATATTAAGTCCACCTGTTATTGAATCTAGAAAATAGAGAAAAAAAGAATAAACCATGTCAAGTCCGCTGCCAAATCCTGACCTCAGAAAAGTCATCCCGATATGTTGTGAATGGATGTACACAGCTCCAGAAAAACATTGATGCGGGAATTTGATCTAGCGTTGTTGTCTTGGTGTTTAATCCTGGAAGAGAAATATGATGTCGTCATTTTTGAGAATCCAGTATTGGAAGGATCTGTCAGCCAGCATGTCTGTACTTTCCTTGTTTCGTATAGCTGTAATATCTTGGTTGAGGTATATTGAAATACTTTTCGCAATGACCTTCTAGATCACAATAAATTGAACTAGTTATGCGGCCACATTGGCGCCTTGAAGTATCTGTTGTTCCCTGAGAACTCTTCACGATTTGGTAACAAAAACTTATCCTGCGATTTTGTGTGTACATTCCTCTATACCATGAGGGACTGTTTTGGTCGTTGTGGGTTTCTTCATCACAGTAAAAATACCTTTTTAGCTCCCACAGCCGTTCTTTTACAGCGATGTGAAGCATGGTTTCAATAAGTGCATATCAGACCCTCTCCAAATGACATGGCAAACAGAAGATGGGCACGAAGCTCTTCAGGTGCCTCAGATATAGGATTGCTTGCGAGATATCGATCCAGATATTGCCGTTGTGTTTCGTACTCATTCAGGTCCCAGTGTTTTCTTTCATATTCCCAATGCTCATCTTGTAGTACCCCCTGTGTTACTTCCGGTAAACGAGAAGAACTTGGCCCAGCACCAGAGCTCAAAGGAGCGTGGCTTGTAGATGGCATTTGATCATAGCTTCCCATAACATTGTAGGTCGCAATTATATTGGGATCCTCGATGCTTGTCGAACGCATCTGCGACTGAATTTCAGATACTTTTGGCATTCGGTTGAATCGCGATGAGCCTTCACCACCAGCGGTAGTAGTGCTATGATGCGATCTGCTATCATTATGTGTTTCACTTGAATATCCGCTTTCCCATGGTCTAAACTTTCGCTGAGACGCAGTATCTTTGGAAACCTCTACAGGGGGTCGTCGTTGAGGTGCACTCGTCAGAGATGATGGCTGCCGGATCTCCGGCGGAGGCGTATCAGCACTATAAAGATCGCCTTCGTCATACTCTCTGTTCGGATACTGGATTTTTTGAGCATCAAGAGACTGCGTAAACGGTTGTTCAACCACTCGTGTCGCAGAGGTACAAGGAGCGAGTTCGGTCTCGGGTGCTGTAAAACCTCTGATATCGGGCGAACGTGGATACCATGTGGGCTCCGGGTTTATGTGATTCATATCCCGCCAAGCCTTGTTGTTGCCTATGTTCTAATGTTTGAGAGCCAGGTGAGTGAGGTCCCCTTACATCGGGCGACCTTGGATGATTTGGTATTTGTGGAGGTTGTGGAGGTTGGTATTGCTCATACTCTGCAGAATAACTCGTTTGTCCATAAGCTGGAACCTGAAGACTCGAAGAGGAATCTAGGCTTTCAGATATGCCAAATCCTGTTAGATCTGGTGAAACTGGGTAACGTTTGGGCGATGGAGGTTCGCTTGAAGGAGTTCTCGAGGCAGGTCTTTTTCCCTTATTGCTCGGTGCTCCAACATTGTGTGATCGAGTTCCGGCTTCGATTATCCGATGTGAATGCTTTTGAGCTGTAGAAGAATGTGGACTGACGCTTGGTGACGATCTCTGTGATGAACGCTCGTGTATTTTTGACGAAGACGCTACATTGCCAACTGTTGCCTGGCAGTGAAATTTGTCGTAACAAGCACGGCAAATCTTGCCCTTTGAACTATCATATTTTCCATCTCCCGGACACCATTTACCATCACTGCCTTTTGCAGAACATGGCCTACGTGTATGAGTGCTCGAAGTGGAGTCTGTACGCTTTTTATCGATCTCCTTTCCTTTTCGAGAAGACATGTTGAAAGGAGGAATATTTTGGCACCACTGACAAATTAGATACTCGAATAATTTAAAATAAAGGACAAGAAGGCCACAATAATTTATAAACGGTACGTCTTTTCGTAACTAAAGCCGCGAAGATGAAGTGATTGGTAATGATAGGATATTATCGTGAGTAGGGACTCGGACTGTCGTATAAAAAACAAGCGTCGAGTTTTCAATCAAGCCGAGTAGCGACCTTATCCAAAGGTCCGCAGCAATTCTGAGGGTAGTCGTTGTTGAGTTTGTAGAGGGATTTGTACCACGACGCAGAGGTGAAAGGATAATGAAGAGTTAAGAGCTCTCCTGAGTAGTTTTGATTTTCCGGTGGTGTGTTGGAAGTTACGTGAAGTCTTGGTCCTTTGAAACGGTGGCGTGAAGAGTAAAAAAAAGTAAAGCAGAGGGGGGAACTGGGACTATTTGAGCACAAGGACGAGCGAGAAATCGAGTAGTATGAGTGTGATGATTGCGCCAATAATGATTTACTTATGAATTGATTGCGCAGAAATGGCAATTCCTAGCCTCTTCTCGGTTGGAATGCATCAGTGCAGGTGTGATGAAGTATGAATATGATCAATGGATAGGATTTTTGGAACACGAACATTCATAATACACTCCAATTGTATGAGTTGAAGAGAGATAATTATTATGACTCCATGCAAATCCACGCTTCTGACTGAACGGAACCAAAGAAATATACAATGACTGAAATGACATGTCCATACCCCAAATCTTGAATTAAATCATTTATATAATTCGATTCTCCAAGCCTCGTAATATATCTCCACTAGATATTCAATCAAGCGTCATTACCACGAACTCACAAATCTTCGTACACTTAAGAATCAAAAGAGGAATTTAAATTTGGAAGAGGGAAATCAATTTTTAATTGAAATCAAGTCATGCTATCCTTGAATAGTCTCATGAACATGAATATGAAGGTATAATTTGCCTGTTCGGAGTCAAATCTGACAGTACATTCCGCAATGCAAACTATTGATGAGACTTTGTTAAGAGAAGAATGATACGTAGGGGTATGACTGTTCCATTCCAGTTTAAAGGAGGGGTGTTTTTGAGTGTCATTAGAGAAGCCGAATATTGATAACAGTACTGGGGGAGTACCCAAATTCGGAGTTTGAATCAAAGGAAGGCTACTCGAAGTATCAATTTGCCAGGTATGACCTTTACCACGAGAGCCCACATCGTGGGGGCCTTTTAAAGTCACTAGAATGGCATAATGACTCTTCAAACTAGAGCCAGTATGAATTTTGAGAGTAGTGGAGTTGATGAAAAACGTTCTACTATAACTTACATAATTGCACATGTGACCTATTCGTGGCTTATGGCTCATTTAATTAATGCACTTTGATGAACCGCTGTCGTCATAGTCTGCTCGAAGGACGATGATGTTCACAGAATACTTATGAGTTATCACACTCCATTTATCTTTGTGATTCCAAGAGTTGGACCACGCAAGCGAATTTTGCTGCCATTCTGATGTTTAAATAGCATGGGACTTCCCACGTCTTCCTTTTCTCTTTTAGCATACAGTGATATCAAAGACAGTGATTCGAAAAAAAATTCTTCGAGACTTTGTAAGCCCAAGATCTCAGAAATACATTCCACTGCAACTTTGTCTTTACTTCAAACTGAGGAATATCAATAGTATTATCTCCTGATCTCATTGTGGTAAGATTGCGAGCTCTTGAACTCAAATACCATGATCTTCAGTGCTAATTTATTTTAGAGCAACATGTCTGACCAATCCAATCGTCAAGGGAGAGAGAATCTTCAAGAGTATGACCGTTGGTTGGTGGAGGAAATAGTGCCATATGTGATAAGAGATGTGCCAGAAGAAGTAGATGCAATGCAGGCATATTCGCCATCCAATGAACTTTACCAAAGTAATAGTCCCCTAATGATCTCTACTATTCCAGAAACTCCTCCTGGAGATGTCTGGACAGGAGGTAATGATTATTGGACAGAAGTTGGATATTCGCTAAGTGGACAGTTTGTGCCTAGCGACCAATACATTCCTTTCGATTCAGATCTAGCGCAAGCTTCTCCATTTACTGGATATCTAACCCAGAGCCCTTCAGTCGCTGAACACCAAGTACAAACTCCTTCAGTCGCTGGATACCAAGCTCAAATTCCTCCCACGTTTAATGCTGAGCCATCAGGACATATAGGGCAAGGACACGGAATGGCATATGCACAATCGCGTCCGAATAGTCCTGAATTTGAAGATGGATGGCGCCAATCTCTGTCGGGAGTATGGGAGTGGCTAGGACAAGGCGCTCCTCCCGGATTTCAAGAGACCCAACCGCAGCCCCCCCGTGATACTCGGGTGTCAGAAGACGGGCAAAATTTGAATCAAGAAGCATACGCACGAGCTAGTGCACCAAGCAGCCAACGCTATTCAAGTCCTTCTGTTCAGCTGGTAACAACTCCGAGCCAATTTCTTGCTGCAATCGATCACTCACCGCGATCATGGGAGAACATGACAAACGCCTCCGACAGTCAGTCTGAAGATCAAAATCGCTCAGTAGCTGGAGATGGTCAGAGAGTATCCGGCAACCACAGAGGTGACCAGGAGAATGCGCGAAGAGCACGTCGTAGGAGGCGGCAATAAACAGTGGATTGCACCACGCAGCTGCATCGCTGATTGGGACGAAGCGATGAGATTTGCGACTCATATTGTTTATGTTTCTTTTTATTTTGCCTTTATGGTGGGGTTAATTGTGCGGGAAGTGAACTCTGGCCGATGAGTTTGTGTTCGTGGAGGAGATATGGAGGATTTCATTTATTTTTGTTTTAGCGCTTGGGCATACGGTGATGATATTATTTAGTTTCCAGAGAATTGAACACTAGTGATCTCATCTGTTGCCCACAGTCGCTTCTGATTCTTTTCGATTGAGATTGGGGGTTTAGGCCCTCAGTTTGGACTGAGAATATCGGCATGTATGTGCCATACATAGACAGTCATACTGATAGGAACTACTTGATAGTTGGACTTAATTAGGGTGCGTTCGGATCGATATATTTCAATTGTTAGACATCATTTATTTAATAAATAATGTAAAATAATGTGTTTATTGAATATAATATATAATAAAATATTTATTTCGGATTTAAGATAATGAACAATTATTTGAAATTATTTGATTTCATTTATTTATTAAATACTTGTGTTTATTAAACACAGATATAATGAAATAAATTATTAAAAACTATTTGAATCTAAATAATCATTTCGTAAATAATTTAAGCTTCCCTATATAGTAATTGTAAAGCTCGATTTTCGAGCTTTATAATTAATATTTAAAAGAAAATCAATATCTCGAAACTTTTTTAATATTCCTAACTATTTCCATCTACATTACTTTTATAGAAATCCTAATATATATCATATACAATTATAAATATAATATATAATCTAAATATTATTCAAAAATATTAATGTTTACCAAACACTACATTAAATCAAATATATTAGAAATTAAAAATTTATTAGGATTTTTAATGACTTATTAAATTTCAAATGTTGAAATAATATTCTATATAATTTATTCGCATCCGAACAGTACATATATTCTAATAAAATATTTAGAATTATTTGAATTATTTGACAAATAAAATTAACTAATAATGAAGCTCTAATAATTTCACAAAAGTGATTCGAACGCACCCTTAATATACACGTTGAACTTTTTATGTTCGTCTGAATGTATGATCCCTCCAGATACGTGAAAAATGAAATGAGTATCTTGAAGTCACCAAAGGGCATTAATGATATAGCATACTAAAGCCGGTATACATCCTGAGATTATATGATTCTATAATAAGTATACTAAATCACTTAGTAATATCTTACTAATTAAAAGATATATTAATGACTAATATATGTATATTATGATTTTATATTATAAGATTATATTATTATATTATTATATCTTTTATCAAATTGTTTTATAATATAATAAAATGAAATAAAATCATATGAGAGATTGTTAATCAAACAAACTAAATTGATTGATTATGTTTTCTTCTTATAATATAAATGATTCTATAAGATTCGATTTAAAGCAATCTTATTTATAAGTATAAAAACTATTAGGACTTCATTATAAATTATATAAATCTAGAATATTCTTTAAAGAAAACCTAGAAAAAGTAAGCAAATTCAGTTCAATCAAGCTCTTTCTTATAATTTGGCTTCAATTCAACTCTCATATTATTTGTTCGATTCATCTCTAAAGCTAAAGTGATCAAGTCTTCCACTAATACTAGAATACTAATATTATTATTATTATTCTAGAGCTAACCTCCAAGAGAGATTATGTATCTTGTACAATTGATGATGTGAACAATTTTCTTCAAACTTGTCCTTGATAATTACGATAGCGAAATATTGGTTGATTTTCTCGATTCTATGGCTTCGAGACTAAATGAGCAACGTTAAATCTGAAAAGTTATGACGCTATCAGAATCTTGTCACCTATGAAATATCTTGAATCAGATGCAGTTTGTTACTCATCGCTTGAATATACATACAGTCATGCGTACAAGTCTTGAATCTATATCAATGCTCATGTAGTATGTATTCCTCTTTTTTTCCTTTCCTCAACTTTCCAGAATTTCGAAGCAATAGTTCTCAAATATCTTTCTCAATAATCAAAGCCTATCACAACCTCAAAGAAAACACTTGCTTCTCTTTCCTTTCCCTCCATTTCTTCCTTCAAGAAATCTTAAGATTCATCTTGCAATTTAGTCTAGGTAGGACGGCAGATTTTGGAATATAAGTATAACAAATAATGCTAACTTTTTTTTTTCAAAGGAATATGTCTAGCTCAGATTCCAAATATTGCAAACGATGGATACCAGAACGCGAAGCTGAATGTGGCCAAGAGATTCCTCTATCCAATGAGATGTGCGATGAATGTTTTCGTTGTAGAGCCGCTGCATACGCTTCTTTGGATCTACTCTTCAAAAAAGGAGGAGCAGACAATACAACAGCGCCGTCGAGACATGAATGGCAAATGCCCCGTAACACGAAAGAAATCTCGAAGACAAACTCTGGCCCTCGGGCTCTTGCAGAAGATCCTCAACCATTGAGCCACCGAAAAATGACGAATGGAGATAAGAGAAGTTCGGGAAGATAGATCTCTCAAGCTGCGCAGATACTCATCGCCCTATCCACCACACAACCCAGCGACCAGCCAACATATAAGTTTCCATAGCGACAGGAAATAAGGTTTGTGGTTTGTGGTTCCTGGAAGCGCTGATGAGATTGATGACTGTTCTGACCTTCAAGAATCTCTGTTTTAGTAAGACACATGAGGGGATATTGAGATTCCAAAGCTGTGATAAGATCAATTTCCTTTTACTTTTTTCCACTTTTCTTGAACTCTTCATTTTGTTCAATCTTTTCTTGGGAACGCAAGCCATGACGAAAGACTGATTAATGGTGGAGCTTATCACGAACCCTGTGATTGATGGGCTCCAAAACTTGGAGTGTTGGGTTGTTTTTGCGTTGTTTATTGTCATCGAGGTTGGTGTGGATGGAGGGATCAGACTTCCTCTTTCTCACCCAGAAGTCTTAACGAAGGACTTAATATTTGTAAGACAGCTTGCTTGATCTACTTTTGGATATAGGGACTAGTTAATAAATGCCTCGAATTTCATATATGCGCGTAAATGAGTTCGTGACCTGTCGAGGTATTGAGAAGATAGTAAACTCGGAATTCAATAGTAATCGAAGGAGAGGTATGACTGAGAAATGATGTGTGTGAGGTATGAATATTACCTACTCAATTCGCATGGCTCTGAATTACTAGGACAGTAAATACATACCTTCTTTAGCGATACATCACACCATTCTTCGCGTTGCATGCCCATGACCTAGAATTAAGCGTCTTTAGGCCATTGTTTTGAGTAAAATCCAAAGCCATTCCGGGTTCCTTTATCATGATCTTCAATATAACGATGGAAATTCGAAGCCTTTGAATTTAAATATGCCAATAAGTCCGAAAAGTTAGAAAAAGAAGATAAGTGCAAATTCACAAGATTTTGACCCTGGTCTGAGGTAGAAACCATTTTCTTGAGCTACCAAAGAACATCGACAAAGGTATGAATTCCTTCCTCGAACGACTCACCAAATTTAGCAATTCTCTCAGGTAGTCATCTCATATTTTGGCAGTCATTTCCCTTTCCTGAACGTATATTGATCAAGTGGTGTTCATCCTTAGAAGTCATGATTTGAGTCGTTCGATTATTTCTCTCATTTTTTTGCATCTGCTGGGATTTGCTACTAAAACCAGTCATGAATATTTCAAGTAGTCTCTTCTCCTTTGACTCTACCCATACTTAAACACTCATATAGCGACAGATTTAAGCCTACAGTTATGACGTGGACAGTCATCTACGGGTTTTGGCAATTGGAAACACTCACCTCATTTGAATGGGCGACTCGCACAATTTCGACATATACCCATCTTGGATTCCCCAGATTTTCCTTCTTTTAATTCTCATCACTGTATTCCATCAAACGATCCATCAATCAACCCTAAGGTATTGCCAGCATTTGATCTCAAAATCACAGATATCTAACCACTAATTATGTCCTTAAACGATTTCAGTATCGGAAGCAGTAGCCGTGGCTATGGCCAATTTGACAAGTTTGGTCAACCTCAAAGGCAGAGTTATGGCGGAGGTCAGCCTCGTGAGTCAAACTCTAGAAATAGAGACATCCAAGGTCAATCAAAATCTGCTGGATGTTGAATTGTGCTGGAATCCAACGAAGGAATATATAGTTCTGACATTCTCTTAGGAACACACCAACATGGCTCAGGTGGGAGTACCATAAAGCTCCCTCCTGTAAGCCTGACCGATACTCCATCACCATATCCGACGAATGACAACCCTCTACCACCATTCAGCTCCTTCCAGATAACAGCTGCTCAACCATCGTATCATTCAGCGCGGGCCTCTAGCACTACGAGCTTAAGATCGCCAGGTAGTTCCAACGTTCCTGCCACTCACTCGCATTCTGTTACGACTATTCAATCACAGCACTATCCAATTTCCGAACCAAGAGTTCGTGAGGCTTCTTACCCTTTGAATGATACACAACGCTTCCAAGAATCTGGCAGTCGAAATTACCGACTCCTAGCTCCAAGTCAACGATCCACTATGAAGCATAGAGGCAAGGAGAGCACAGATTCCATGCAGCACTTTCCGGCTGGTGTTCCGACTTCAATGCAGAGCTCACCTCCTTCTCCGGGTAGGTTAGAAAGAGATATAGGTACCTCATCGTCTAGAGAGGCGACAAAAGAGCAGTCTCGGAGAAGACATAAGGCGAACAAAGGATTGATACCTCGCAGATCTAGTCGAATCGCGTCGATGTTGCCCCAACAGTCATTGCAAGGATATTCCAAATCCAACAGTCATTCGACAGAAGCGATAGCAGCGGAATCTGGCATGGAGTGTCGCCAACCGGGATGTGAGGAGCAAATAAATACGAATGCCACCTTTGGGGCATGTCGATTACATCATGATCAATTATCAACATGGGATTTCTTGTATTGCGAAGCAGAGAAACGAAATTTTCATCACCCAGCGGCCCACTTCCCAAATGGGCAATGTATAAACAAGAAAGATAATCCTGATAGTCGCTGGTGTGATTATCACTCAAAAACGAATTATCATTCGAGACCCGTGTTCCTCAAATCACTGGATGGCAAAGCTGGGAAGTGGTTTGTGGGTCGTAACGAGGGCATTGCTGATCTACCTCCTGGGTATGGTACATCGATGGCGCAAAGTTCTTTCGATCATCGCTCGTCACTGGATTCCGATTCCTAAAACCTGGAAAATATCCGCCAATCTTTCTTTCCCTTTCAGATCATCATACTTCTTCACTGTTTTTCGTTCTTATCTAGGTAATACCTGGTAGCTGGAAATTGAGGATGTAATCATTCAAGGTGCTACTGAAAGCACAGCAAAAATCTTGCAGTAGCAATTTCGATTTATGCGGGGGCTATTTTGAGTTGGATGTTCTTTTGTTGTTCAATGCTTTTTAGGGTTAAACAGGTGGCTTTGATCGGTAGGTTAGATATCGCTGATACATTATCGGGCGCAATTTGTATTTAGTCTTTACTGATATAATCTAATGTTGATTCTTTCTTCTGAATGACTCTCTTTCAATAATTGCTGTGCTGAATCTGATGCGCAACGTTCTGAGCTGCCCCCTCAAAGGACGTTGGTTATTTTATCCTTGTTCCGAATAAAGTATGACTGAAGAGTGATTTATATGAGACATCAAAATTATTCAGTCAATTAAATATAGCTTTTTGTCTTAAGGAGACTTGACATACCCAGGTATATCTTGTTAATAGCACATTACAAATTAGTTTGTAAAGAGATCTCTAATCCGGGGCTCAAGCATCGCAAGCAATAGGTACCTAGGTGCAATTCAGGAGCCATTTGGGTAGTTATTGGCTTTAATAGGGTTAGATTTTGTAATGGATATCTAGTAGCTTCTGCGTTGTTCCAGACTCTCCGGTCATGACTCGATGACAGTCAGAATAATGGAACCTATGACTATGAATATTGAGATCTTATCAAAATGTCTACTTTGTAGATTAAAAACACTCCTCTTGAACCCTTTTGATACCTGCTTCATGAAACAAAGCATCCCTAACGAAACTTCCACTACTAGACTCTATATTAATCTGGAGATAGCTATGAGTCAACTGGCAAGAAGAAATTCTAAGCTCTATGATCTTCCAGGGAGCCTTGGCAGCTTATGGAAAAGCTCGAATGAGGGTGGTACAGCAGTTCTGGAGAATAGTCCCTGTTGCATTGATATATGAGCGTTAATATCATCACTTCAAAAGGATGCATCACGTATTAGCGAGAGGCATACAATGATATTGTGACATTGCACACTATTGAAATTGGATAGCAAACCTTACAAGCATGCACTTTGCACCGTAGTTGAGATTTACTCACCACTGAATATTTCAAAGTGAAAATTGAGGATGCCAAACAGTGTTCCCACATTGCCAGACTTCTTGCCGTGTCTCTAAATAGGTACCGGCTGTTTTCAGATCAATGATGTGGAACTCAGCATTCCTCAATCTGTAAGTGGGCTACCTGAGGCATCGATGAACATTGCAGAATATACTGGTAGGACAGAAATGCCACTTTTATGCTAACTCATACTCTCTTAGAACGATGGAGTATCACAGCCAGTTTATTAAGTATCAAAACCGAAAGCCTTGAGTTATTGTATAGACGGCCTAGCTACAAAAGCAACGCACGTGCTGGCAAGACTAATCAAGACCTCTTCAAAAGATTGTATTCCTAATAATAGTAAGAGATTTTCACAGCTTCCTGTGCACTTTCCAGCAATCCATATCAAGTTCAAACCTAGATACAGGATAACGTGACTACATGCTCATTTGTATTCACTCGCAAGGTGGCGCAGGCGAGAAAATTTGAACCTCGCTAAGCTCGCGCACATTCGCAGAAAAACTTATTTAAGAGTTTCCTTTCTCCAGTATGGTTCAATTTCCTCCATCTTCATTCCAACTCAAAACTTCCCAGCATTCGAAGCTTCGTATTATTGCATTTTCTTTTTCTTCTTCTTTTTCTTCTTTTTCTTCTTCTTCTTCTTTTCGAGCCACAGCTTTTCCATGCTTTCACAAATCTGTCACCGACGCTGCTTTCCACCTATTCACACCTCTTTGCACGACGACCTTCGATAATCAATTCATCTATCATCTCGCAATGGCGCTCGAATGTACGGTACAAACCTCGACCGACTCTCAAAAACAAGTAAGTCTACAGTTTGATTCACATTTTCTGTGATCAAATATTTAGCTCTTTTGACTTTCAGCTAACATATGTAGTCACAGGATTTGGATAGCGATGACTCCTTCGACCCTAATTCCTTGCCGGTAAGATCTATTCCTCACACACTGTAACGATTCCTTCGCGTCTGCCAGACTATCTCAAACACATTTGATTTCAAGTGAGGTGGAATCACAGTCACCGATCGAATTCGCAGCAAAACAATGGGGACATAAGCAAGACTTCTATTGGTCCCTTGGGACCTCAAACCTGCGTACACGGTGCCAGGGGAAGTCTCTCCTCGGAGGGTTGTGCGTTTTCAGCTATCTTATTGTGTGCAAAAAACTCATCATGGTGTGGAGACCAGATCTGTAATGGGTCGAGGTGGTAGCTAATTTCCCGATCTGTGTGGCCTTCTGGCCGTCGGGGATGACGGCACTATTGGGATACACGTCTTCCCTTCGCACTGACCGTAGAACGAGCGGCAGATTAACTTCCTGGGAGTTGTTGCGAGATTCTGGGCGTGAACATGGTCACTTCAGTGTGAGATCTTACACATCATAGCACATCGCTGACTTGAGGTTTAGGTAGATCGCTAGCTTTCTCGAAAAGAGTTAATTCAATGGAGAGCAGGGGTACATACAGACCAGCTATCAAGGCGACAAAAACAAGTGTAAGTTGTTATCTTCATCTATTTTTGGCTCCATGGTGTTGTCATTGACCTCTTATACACAGTGATGCATCCGAACAAATGAAAGTTTTGCAGAAGCAGCAAGACGTGGTGGCTTTCAAGCATTATAGGGAAGACAAGTCTAGCTGTATTAATGTTTCCAATCAAATTAAGCTGATGAACCATAAGAACAAGATGATGGACTATCAATTGGATCGCAGATTTAGACTTGCTTTAATATTTGCACAAATAGTAAGTTACTTTTCCAAGCGCGATGTGGCTAAAATCAAAATGCTGACATTCAAACTCATTTAGATCTTCATCTCGTTTTTATGTGTCTTGTTATTCTTCTACATCATGAGACTTTTTGGTGCGGGTCACTACTATGCAGCGTTGTGCTTTGTGATCTTCATTTTACTCTTTGCATGCCGGCTTGTCTACAATAGCTAGTTTTTTTTTCTTTCAATGAGTCGATATGACTAGAATGTATTGATAGACATAAGGACTGCAGTTCAGGTGATTTGGTAATTAGAGAATAAGAATTTGAGTATTTACTATTGCATTCAAACAGCCGCGAGTGCCTTTCTTTCTTCTTTCCCTATATCATAATAGAGCCCTTTCGAGTTAACATTGAAACGTCTATCTCTACTGCAGTGATCTATACCCCATTCATGAAGTGAGATCTGTACAGCACAGATTCGTCAATCATTTTCAACTTGCCACGGATATACATGAACCTTGGAACATCGCGCATCAGGTGCCGTGCAGCATGTTCCGAGCAAACAATTTTGGACGAATCTAAGCCAATGGAAAACCACAGAATGGCTCTTTCACAGGCGCCTACATTGTTGACTCACTGATTGATGTGAAAAATACAAACTATGTGACTCGGCAGCAATATCTAAGTTGTAGTTTACGTTCTCAACCGAATCAAAATTAAAACTTGGCAGAGATTTGCATCTCTTATACTCGAGTATGCACCAACATTTGAACATTTCTCATTTTCTAGGAATTCTTTCATCGTCTTTTCAGAGCCAGAATGGTGACCTGGTGCTTCTTCAATCAGCACCCTATCTTGCTCATCTACCGTTATCTCGACCCAATCTAAGTTTTGGGTTACCGCAGAGTACTCATCCCACGAATCACACACTCGGCTTTCATTACATGGGTACCAGATGCCCACTTCATACAACTTTTATCGTCGAGAACACGAACTTGTCATTAATACACAACCAGACGCAGTTTTGACTTGATCCCCTCTTTAATCGAATGATACTCAGGTAGACGCAAGGTCGGGACTCTCAATCGACTTCGTCGGAAAGTAACAACCAGCATCAAAAAATAGTACACAAAGCCAGATCCCAACCTCTCATACATCCATCCATGTTTCTTCTTGGCCATCTCAGCCATCGGTCAAGATTAATTTACCATATTCAACATCTTCCAAAGTTACTCATCAAGTAGCTTACCTAATGCAAAGATACTAGTTGCACATTCAAAAGAATACACAATGGTCCCAGAACTCAAGGTCCAGAACATTTAATTGCCGGTGACGCTAGATGAGATCTCAATGTCGTCGCACTACAATAGACGATCCAACTCAAAAACACATTAATTTTTCGGTACTTGAAATGGTTTGTCCATTATTTCTGGGCAACAATCTACCTACCATCTATCTCAGAGATAGTAGAACTCTCTGTAACTGGCATTGATCGGAAAGCCCACAGAAATAGAAGATACAAAGTATCAGATCTTGACACGTTGATTTTGAGTGGCTCTACAGGAACTCCTGTCTGATATCAAAGATGGTTTACATCGGGATAATCTTCCGTATTATTCATCAGCAAAAGACTGAGATGTTTAATTGATTGGTGTGTAAGCTTCATGTATAGTTTATAGTTCATGATGAGAATCATACTTTGGCTGTCATACTAACTACTGTTATGGCCGTATTCGTATACAACAATCCCAACACCATGTAGAAACTCGAGACTTCTGAGGGTCTCGCTAACATGAACGCAAATTTCCAAAGGCAAAACATTCCTGAAGTATATTATGAGCCACAGCAGTACTACTGTCACAAATCAATTGTGTGAAATATCTATCTCCCGTACATCGTCATATATTACGGCCCCTAACACCTCGCTTAGCTCGCATGAAGAGTTTTGACCGTACTCCGCAACCGCACCTCGAAGACGATTGAGTATAGAGTTACTCTAGAACTTACCGAGTAACTGTCCGTTTCTAAAACCTCATTAATCTTTCGACAAGACAACTTCCAACTCACAGCTCACAACTCACAACTCGTCTTATCATAGAATCAAGCAAAAAAATGAACTGCCTTCGAAAGATCCGATCATCTAGAAACATGTCTTCATCAGGAATCCAAGTCCGCACCACTGTCGCTGTTCAGAACACAGCTTTTCATCTAGTCGGCTGCAGCGCATACACGGCCATCATATTTAAATCTCTGACATGCTGCATGAAACACACCCCGCAATACCTTGTCCTCGTTGGACCGATCATGATCTGGCTCTTTATCTTGACCCTTTATCAAACTTATCAGGGATTTAAAGAGGTCATCGAGGAATGGAAGAGCGACGGGGCTATGGGAAAGTCTGGACAGGGACTCAAGCAGGGCACTAATCAAGCTACCGGAAAGTCGAAGAGAAAGAATCATCGTGGTGGAGTTAAGGCCAAAAAGGCGAAGGGCAAGCGAGAGGACACCGGAAGCTCGAACTCTGATGAGAACTAAGGGCATATCGATGGCTTTTTGTGGTAATTGAGGATTATCTCTCGGACGGCTGGAAGTCGCGGCACTATAGTATGGGGGCTATAAGCGACATGGTAGCTGTTCAGTCATGACTGACCAAGGCTTTGAGACTGGGTGATGATGGGCATCTGGTTTGAGGCGGTTTTTTTAATACAAAACTCTAACTGATCTAGTTCCTGTTAACTCAATTAATATTCTCTACATTACCACGTGAAATCTTGTTGTTACTCGATGTTAAGGATCTCAGTTCTTTATCTCCGTGATGCCTGTATTGAATGCCTAATGCTAGCTGAGATTGATATGTTAAAAATTTGCATAAGCAATGGAGACCATTTTGTGGGAGAAAATTTGAATTTACTATGATACTAGAGCGGCGTCTACTATCAACTGTTCAAGTTACTGTTCAGCCATCTTGTAAGGACGATCACCACCTAAGCTTCTCCTAGCGTTTAGCTCGTAATTCTTAAGGTCTAAATGGGTGGTCAACCATCATCATGTTGCTTACGTAGGTAGTCGAAATGTCTGACCATAACCACATTCAGTATCAAGTTCTGGTGTTCGATGGTACTTTCACATGCCATGATAAATATATTTCTTCGTGGAAGATGCTTTTCTAGTATCATATAGTATTCTCTCAATCGCCATGATAGAATGTCATAATTCCAGCGAATTTTAATGAGATTTCAAGATTTTTGAGGCGATATATAAGGTTGACTAGGTAGGCGGAAGTAAGCCACAGCAAAGCCACTTTCGAAAAGTGGCTTGCGTCTCTATTTATACGAGCACGAGCGTCGCTTATGCACTTACCCCGCTTCATTACCCAAGCGGTCGTCTCTTCACAACATTCCAGTTATCAAATTACATTGATTCTCTCAGCATACTACCTCTAAGGTCCTCTGAGCAAAACTGTTTGTAAAAATCATCATTTTACTTCAGAAAGTTCTGACTCATGCTTTCAACCCCGCGGTATAGAGCTCACTACTTTAGAGTGTATTAGATCCTTAGAAACTAGGTTAAGATAGTTAAGATAGTTTTGAGACGGTTCAAGTACTGCGTCGCACAAATCTATAAATTGGTGTGTCCTCTTACATTTTTCTTTCATCTGTAAGATTCAAACACGGTTTTCAGTCATACCTCAAGCCTTCAATCATTAGAATTTTTCAATAATGCTATACCCCTCTATTCCCGACCTTCTGCTATATCACAGAGGGACACCTCAATATCCAAACAAGAATCTCGAAGACAAGAAGTCTCAAAATTGTGAAGGCCGAGTCATAACTCTTCCCCGAAACACCCTTAATCATTCTGATGATGACTTTGAGAATTTTATCAATGAAGTTGAAGATCCCGTTGATGAATTGGAATATCTCGAAACGATATCTGCTGATGCCATCAGTGGACCAGATCTTAAACAACGAGAAACCGAGTTCAAGCCTGAAGACAGTATCCTCGAGAGACTGCCGCCTGAACTTAGGGAGATGATTTTTATCTTTTGCGGTCGAAACACTTTCTGCTCGGCTGATCAGGGTCCACGTCTATTGAAAGCACTTCGAGGCCAGTGGCGAGCTTACACCCACGCCTTGAATGTTTTTGAGAGACTGAATAGTTATGAACTTGGCGCCGAACTGAGAAACCATACATCCGAAGTATACCACAAAGTTCATGATATGACAGGACTCATGACAGCCAAAAAAGCACCTCAAAATGTCTCATCCCAATCGAACTCGAATGATTCAAAATTAGCTGAATCCGACTTGAAGCTTACTCTGCAGTCAGTTAATACATATTCTCCATTGGCGCAACAGAAAGCTAAGGTGTAGATAGTGGGCGTATCCGCGAACACCTGAAATATTCTGGTGATTTTTCGGCTTCGACTCCAAGCACTGTTCTGTACTATTTAGTCCGACAACTACACAACGCAAACCTTATTCGACATGTACAGTTTTATCAAAAACTAAGACCGTCAGAACAACGAAGTTCCCGCATTATTCTCTGCCAAAATGATCAAGGCGATTGGAATTTTCTCAAAAACTTCCTCACTCTCGTCCCCTGTCGAAGAGTCAAAAGAGTTATTATCCAATTACCTAATCCCGAAAACTATCATGTTAACGCAGCTTCCAGATATGATAACTATTACCGGGACAAATATCATGAGAGTGGCCGCGCAAAACAAGACGCCTTCGTCTTAGCAGTGATCGAGAGTATCAATCAGAAAGTCGGGGTGCGAGGTGTCGTGCTTGGCCGATCAAAAGATAGTCTCTCAGGATTTTGCATATGGGAGGCTCCTGAAGGGAGATATATGGATTGGAACCGTGATGTGATAGAGCCATGGGCATTGAGGGGTGGATTCGGTAAGACTTTCCTTGATTACGAGAATAACTTCCTGGAACTCAGGGAGAGTCAGAGTAGGCGTTGCTTTGTGCTGAATAATCGCCACGACTAGAGAGCTTGTGGAGTTTTCATCAAGCAGATGTAGAGTTTTAGTCTTGGTCTGCAAACGGATAAGTATGTTGTCGTTGATGTATTTGTTGCTTGTTATGGAAATAGTAGAAGAAAAGAATATGCTAACGTAGCTTACGAGATACAAGACTGAATTCTTTCATACTCAGCTTTAGAATCGTAAAGTCATCCTAATATTCAGGATAGGACTTCAATTGATAGCTTCACTATCTAGAGCTTATCTCCTAGCATATAGAAATTGGCATTTATGCCACTTCATATTGTACGAATAATCACAAAATATAATCAGTCATGGAGAAGGAAAACTACGTCGGTTGAGGATATCAACTATAGTAATCTTCCGAATATATCATTCTTCCCTCAGAACCCTTTCAAAATATCGTGTTACGTGTCGTGTTTCTCGACAATGAAAGCATTAATTACTAAGCATTTAGCTCCCCCCTATCAATAGTAGCCTAGACCATTGGCGTGTAAGCGGTTGATACACCAGCGAATTTATTCCCACTAGAATCATACTACGCGGTTACTAATTTCTGAGAATTTTTCTTAAAATCACTGTGCTGAATTACGTATTCGCCTGCATGACTTCGGGACTATATCTTAAATGTCAGAACGCAATACTATATAGAGATACGGATCCCATGGACCCCGCACGCCTTTTGTTGGGGTTCCCTTACAAACACCTTTACTTTGAAACGACTTCGATGACCGAGGATTGATTCCAAAGCCTCCAATGGGCACTCAATTTACCTAACTCTGATCGTGCATCATCAATTTGATTCTGGTATAAAATATCACGACGATTTCGGTTTGCCACATTTATAATGGTCTGGCTGTCAAAGTTTTACATTCTTGACTTCCCTCGAAACGAGTTTCGGTTTTCTACGACTGCTCATCGCAAGAACCCAAAATCAAAATCAATGACAAAAGAGACTGAATTCAAAGACGACATCGGCGTCAAGCCAATGACCGGAAATAGGGACGATCATCGTAAAAGTTACCCCGCATAAGTCACAAACTCAAAATTGGCAGTTTGAATGCTATTGAGCTCTTGGAATCTATCGACAATTCAGCGACGCATAGGACTACAACTTAGGCTCGGCTGTCATTGCCCGATCTTGGAATCCCATGTTTGGACTTCAGTAGGATGTGCTTCTTGGCACTCAAAAACACAGAAACTTATCAACATTGGTTTTTGCGTTTTTATTGAGAAACAAGCCAATTTCACAGACTTGATGATGGGAAAGGAGTTAAAATTTGATGGCCGTAAGCATTTATTTGAGCAGGGCTATGATGGACATCTACACCTCATCGCCGCGCAAGATGCCTTTAGCTAGGGAATCTCCAACAAACACATAAATCGAAGGCATAGTATCTTTATCAGTTAAATAATATCTAGGCAGTCAAATATGACAATTTTATACGCACGATTAACGTATCTTAGTCTTGAAAGATTCGTGAGAAGTCTTTTTTGCTACGTTTCCTAATCTAAGTTCTTTTCTGCTCCATAGGCTGCGCAAAACCTTTCTCACCTCCCGGGCAAATTGCAGGTATTCTGCTCTCCAGACAATCTATCGAATTTTTTCCTTGCTCTGCAGGTATTCTACCTAGTACATGGGATAAAAGCCCAAACCTTTCCTAAACACTCGAGCATACAGGGAAGTTTCTTATCCTAGACTAATTTATCTACCATCGAACTCATATGTACGAATTACAAGGTTATAATATGAAGAGAAGACGGCTTCTGAATCACACAAATTTTTGTTCACTGCAACTATCCGTTATGTTCTCTATTGCTAGATCTCTACGACATCTTCAATTCTTCCAGAAACATGCCAGTTACCAAGGCTCACAAAATATGCTTGGTATATCTTCAGTCAAATACTTCCAAGTAGAACCATGAAGCTTTCTAGTAACCGCTCTCTGATTATTTTTCGGAATTGCACTGATTGATCAACCTGTTTGAGCCCCTTTTTCGATTTTCATGAATTCAGATACCATAGCGGTAGCTTGAGCTACAGGACAAAGGAGTTACTTCTTCAAGTGTGGATTTATCTTCAACTTCTGTTGTTAAGTCAACTACCCCACTTTCCGACCACCCCCTCTTTTCGACCACCTCAAAAACCACACCGCTTTGAGTAATTATAAAATTTATACTTTGAATAACTCAACAATGCTTTAATCAATTGATTTGAAATTTTGATATTATTATAATTGTGATATGAAGAATAGATATACCGAAGAAGATATCGCAGAGGCTCTTAGAGCAATTACAAATGGAGCAAGCATACGAAGAGCTAGCTTGGATTATGGTGTTCCACGTACCACACTTCACGATCGAATATATGGTGGAGTTTCGCATCAAAAAGGCGCCCAAATACTTCAAAAGTTATCTCCAATTCAGGAGAATCGACTAGCAGAATGGATATTAGTACAGGAAGCTCTTGGTACTAGCCCTACACATCGTCAAATCAGAGAGATGGCAGAGCACCTCCTTATTGTACGAGGGGAGGATCCCTCACTTGGAAAGAAATGGATACATAGCTTTTTTCGAAGGCATCCTAATATTGGAACTAAGAAGCAACATCAAATCGATTCTGCACGAGTTTCAGGTGCTACATCTGATATTATTAAGAAGTGGTTCCGGAACCTCGCAATCCCTGAAATCAAGGCTATTAAGCCGGCCAACAGATGGAATATGGATGAAGCAGGTATAATGGAGGGTCAGGGTCTTAATGGACTAGTAGTAGGAAGCACTGATCGAAGATTTATTCAAAAAAAGCAACCTGGATCTCGAATTTGGACCTCTTTTATAGAATGCATTTCAGCCAATGGAAAAAGCATTACTCCCCTTGTAATATATAAGGGAAAATCAGTTCAGCAACAATGGTTTCCAACAGATTTGACTCTATTCAAGGGTTGCAACTTTACCGCTACAGAAAATGGATGGACTACAGATGCTACAGCTTTAGAATGGCTGAAAAAGATCTATATCCCTCAAACTACCCCTATTCAGCCGGAAAATTCAAGACTCCTCATTTTGGACGGACACTGAAGCCATGAAACTACAGCATTTATGTTAGAATGCTTTAATAACAACATATATCTCTTACTTCTCCCACCACATACGTCACACGTACTACAACCACTCGATTTATCTGTGTTCTCACCCCTAAAAAGTGCATATCGAATCGAACTTAATAAATTAAGTCTATTATCCGATTCCTCACCAATTGGAAAGCGCAATTTCCTTTCTTGCTATCAGAAGGCTAGAATAGAAGGTTTAACTATTCAAAATATCAAGTCTGGGTGGCAAGCTAGTGGTCTTTGGCCCAAAAATATGGCTAAACCTCTTATGAGTCGACTTTTGCTTGAAAATAGCAATAGAGAGGTTTTATCACTTAATCCTGAATCTGATGATGATCCTATTCTTCAATGGAATATATATTCATCGTTTATTCTATGGAAAACCCCTCAAAAAGGAGCCGATATCAGAAAATATAGAGATATAATGATTCAAGAGAAGGAGATCGATTTGCCAACACGAAGATTACTATTTCGCAAGATTATAAAAGGATTCGATGCTAAGGATTATGAACTCTTAGAGGCAGAGAATAAGATTAGAAAGCTAGAATATCAATTAGATGAAGCATTACCTAGAAAAAGGCGAAAGGTTGTGGTATCTCCAAATTCGAAGTTCGCAGGGATTAGAGCTATAAGGCGTACACAAATTGAAGCTGGAGATCGTGAAGATGAGGTAGATGATAGCTCTAGTGCTATAGAAAGTGATTCTACAGGCGATTTCATTGAAGTTCAATAGTTATTGAGTTATTAAAGTTTTAAGTGTAGATAATATGAATTTTTTAGGTGGTCGGAAACAGGGGGTGGTCGGAAAGTGGGGTAGTTGACTTATTATTACTCCTCTAAGTAGGGGTTCGCTAGTTTGCTTCAACACCTATTGATCTAAGAGGCGAAATAGCTCAGTGAGGCTGAAATAAGCTATGAATAGGTTACATGTTACATATTCAGGGGTTTTATTGTTTTTCTAAGTGTATCGCATAATTATCGAGATGTTGAAATGTTGGATGTAAGATACAATGCTAATTTTGAGGAGACAGAAGAGAGTTCTTCAAGATTGTGCAGGTTTTATGTATTCTAGTAATATTCTTCATCCGCCCTACTAGCGCTCCCACTCAGTACTTACTGATTGTCTCCATCACTAGTGTCTCCGATACTCAAGATTATATGATAATGTGCCCTCCGAATGATCCTCATGCAAGCCCCTGATCATCTACCAATCTGTGTTCATTCTTATTCAAATCGTCGCTTTTTTGATGGGCTCGGCGAGGATACTTCAGAGTCGTCGGTTTCGCTTACGTACCACAAGAAATTAAAGTTAGTATATACAACAATTCTACCATGCCATGATAAGATTCAAGAAACCTGTATTGGAAATACAGATTCTCCAATCAACCCCCTATTTTGAGGTTATCAACGTAGGGGGGGAAAAGACCTGTACGAACAGCAACTTACAGGCAACTCCTCATCATCTAATGTTGCACAATAAAAATGATCCGTTCCTATGGAGCCCAATCTCCCCGCCTCAAACAGAGAATTAACATTAAACACCAAATGATTCTCCAGTAAACGTTCAATCAAACCCTGCAACCTATGATCCCGGGCTAATCCGCGATAATACGCCGGAATTGTGATATTTCTCGGAATGGGCGTACTCAAAATCTTGAGATAATCCGGATCTCCCGCACAAGACATCAAAACGTTCATCTGTGTTTGGAGAAGTTGGGCAGTAACACGATCACGCATGATTTTTAGTACTTCCAGGATCTTCGGATTTGAGACTCCGGGAAGTGTCCCATTGTAGAGAATAAGACCGTGGGGCTCCGGTTGTTGGAACTTCATGTGTCCGGCGATGTGAATGGCGCATTCGCGGAAGAGAGTTTCGTTGCGGAGGGTGTAGGCGAGCTCGATGAAGTGTTCGGGCTCTTCGCTGATGCGGCGGGCGAGGAGATCGCTATTGGTCCACATGCAGGCGGAGATGTGGTAGGAGACGATCGGGAGACAGAGATAGTAGTCTGCCATTTTGACGATGGCTTCTAGTGCTTTGGGTTGAATTGCACATGTAGTTCTGTACATTGCATTGATCATGAAACAGAATGCTAGGGTCTGGGCATGTGCATCTCCATCACTGAGGAAATTATCGATGAGATCTGGTTGCTGGGATCTGTTAGATTTTTTCTCATTAGATGATAGACAAGTGGAGTACTTACCACATTTTGTTTAGCAACAAGATGCCATTCTCCATCATCTTCGACCTCACTAACCCAGTCATACTTCCATTCTGAATTTTCCGATTGAATCTTTTCGGGCGAATCAAGGAATTTGAAGAAAAATTCTGAATGTTGCTTCAGAATGCTCGTGTGGACTTGGAATTCTGTGTGTCCGAATAGTTTGATGCGCATGTCTGGAACTTGTCGACGGACATGGAACTTTTGGAATGTTGGTGTTTCTACTTCACAGCAACTCATGTTGAAAAATGGTTGGATTGATTTTGCGTTTGTGTTTGCTGTTTTTTCAATGGTATGATGTGTTGGTAAGATGGGTTGGGAAGAAGTATTTTCCAGAACTATTGGAGAGAAATATCACTGAGATATTTTACTACCAATGATGATACTATGATAACAAAAAGAAAAGATATTCCAAGCCAGTGCCTTCTGAAGATAGAAATGGAAACAAGAACACCTTGTTCAGTCTCGTGTGTTCTTACAAATATGGAGACCGTATCTCCCCCCTTAATACATTCTACACCATCCAAATACAAATATAATAATCAGCCAGTCGACTATAAGCGAGCGTTGCATACGGTTCAGTCTCGGATATCCTCAACCCTTCATATAAAATACCAAAAACCGTATATCCCCCTCTTAACACGGTGCCATCATAAATTCATCCCCACTTGAGTACTTAGCTGTACTGTATAACAAACATCACCAAATAACCAACTACCTAATTATAGACGAGCATTAAATATAATTCATTCTTGTATGACTCTTATTATTAATCATTTATATAAACTAAATAGCTGAAAATCATATCTCTCGTTTCCAAGTACCGTCCAGATATTAATACCTCCTTACTTAAGTATACTATATAATAAACAATATGAAATAATCAATTACTTCATATAATCACGCGAGCATTAAATATAATTCATTCTCGCGTGTTCTCAACCCTTTACATGAACAAGTCCAAGAGCTCATCTCTCATCTTAATTCATCATTCAAATATGAACATATACCTACATACCTACTTAGCTATACTATATAATAATCATTATATAACAATAAGATAGTCAACCGTAAGAGAGAATAAAATACTCTTTACTACCGATAGATACTACGATAAATACTAGAAATGTACTTTTTATGTATTAATATCTAAAATGTTAAAATTAATATTTCTTTTTTTAAATTAATACTTTTGGCATTTTATTCTAAATACATTTTTATCCTAAATGTATTTTTAAAAAATAATATTTGTATTCTAAATTCTTTTTTATTATTTTAATTTTGAAATTAAAGATTATAATATTCTAGATGTCACGGTATATACGTGATCACGTCCGATCGGGCTAGTACAACATTAAGCTTCAAGCCAATCACATATATAGCTTTATAGTATATTCTTTTTAATTCTATAGCTTTTAATTTTAAGATTAATCTTTAAATGTTTATTAGATTTATCATATTATTAAAAACTTTTTCAAATAAAAAATGAAATAATATTAGTATATACTTATAAATAAAGTCTTTATATATACTCCATTTACTTTTATTTAGATATATTACTTTTATTCTTTTGTTTATATACAGATCTTTTTAATACTATTTGAAAATATTATTTCTTTTCTTATCCTTAATTTTTTAGTTATAAATTATAATTCAATAAACCTTACAATTATAAAACTTTATGATAAAGCGATTCATTAATAAAATGAAATCTCGTTTTTATACTTTTTAATTCTTAAGTATGTTCTTATTATTTAAATATCTTTTTAATCGAAATTCTCTTTTTCTAATTCTGAAAAGTTTAATAATAACTTTTAGAAATTTGATATATAATTACCCTTAATTTAAATAAAATTATAAATAAACAATATTGTAATTAGTAATTCTATTACTCAATTTTATTTTATTTATTTTAATTTTAAATCTTATATACAAATTATAATATTATCTCAACTTTTCTCTTTTAATCAAAATGTTCCTTTAAATCATATAACAATCCTAAATCAATTTACACACATTTACAATAATCTGAATAAAGTATAGAAAGCTAAAGATAAGTTATTCAATTTTAAACAAAAAACCAATTCTCTATATATTTATATTATAAAATTTGAAAGGACTCTTTATAAAGCAAAAGGCTAAAACTAATCTAATTCGAATAAAATCCTAATCTTTTGTAATAAATTCAATATTACTTTTAGAAATCATTTTTCTTAATAGTTTTTATTACCTTACTTATATTTCAACTTTATTTAAATTATATAATAATTAGTTATATATATGATAAATGAATTCTCTATATCATTCTATTTTAATAAACCTAAAGTCTTATATTTATTATAGAATTCATTTCATTTTCAAAACTATAATTTAATAAATATTAATAATCTTAATGTTTTTAATACCTTTAATATCTCTTTAAATAAAACCAATTGTATCCCATTCCCACTTTATACCAAAATACCCAAATTCTCCTCTATCAAAAGAAGTTAATTATATAAAGAAAATAAATATATCCGATATAAAAATACTTTTTATTCAATACAAATCTGCCTATTTAATCTATATTAAAACATTTAAAATAAAAAAAACCTGTTTTAATTATTACATTCATTTCTACTAACTTTTACAATAATAATAATAATAAAGATTTAAGTAAAATAATCAATAATTAATATTTTAAAGATTATTTGAAAGAGATACAAGCTTTTATTAACACTTTCTATTTGATAATAATATATTTGACTTCTCAAGATATCTTATAAAAAATCGAAAAAGAAATTAATAATAATAATAATAAAAAAGAGTTTTATTAATCATATTTTATATTTAAATCATTCATTTAAAACAAGTTTGAAGTAAATTTTTCAAAAAAAAAGGATAATATTACAATATATACATAATTACATTCAATCAGATTAATATAACACTAAGCTTTAAGCTAATCGAATATATAGCTCTATAGCACACTCTTTTTAATTCTATAGCTTTTAATTTTAAGGTTGATCTTTAAACATTTGTTAGGTTTGTCACACTAAATAAAATGAATCACTTAAATCAATTTAATTTTTTAAGAAAAAATCTTTATTAAATGAATTAATAAAATTAAAATCATATTTCAAATCATATTTTAAATTTCAAATTTTAATCATAGAATAATCATATATTACAAGATATAGAATTACAAGATAAAACTAGATTTTTCAGAAAACTATTCAAACCACAAATATCAAAATTATTAGTAATTTTAAAAAAGAAACGTCAATTATAATATTTCAGATATCAACACATAAAAAAGTATGATTTCTAGTATTTATCATAAATACTAATTAACCTACCTACAACTCAGATGAAAATCCACACATTCAGATTCCCATTTCCTAGTCCGAGGCTACCACCACGAACCAATACACACCACCAACAAGCAATTCTCAAAGTTCATCCATGGAAACTAGAAGCTGTTTCCCTCCAAAACAAATCTCCACCACTGTCTAACGAAACAGTACAGTGGCGGATACGCGATGAGTTTTCTCTTTACGAGTATGTACTGATTTATCTAGACGAGGAAGCTCGGAAACACAATTATATAAAAGTTTTTCTTCCAGAACAATAATCAAGTGATGTCTAATACCAGCGCTAGTAGCTGTGCACTTTCATAGGAAATACATCGGATTCATTTATAGTAGGCTGGCGAATTCGACTTAGCGGACATGCCATGACCAATCATACAACATCCTTTCTATAGATTGATTGATCAATTGATTGTCCAAAACTCATCACTGTGAATAGAAATACAAGTGGAGATTTTATAAATGAGATACCCTATTTTTTACCCTACCTTCCTATCACCTGCCTTTTCCATCCCATTCATTATCATATCATAGTTTACTCTCTGAATCCATTTCCCATGAACGTCATGTACATTTCTTATCATTCATTTCCATTTCCATTTTGGTTTCCGCACCCAAACCCTTCACCGAAACCAATTCCCCGTGGACCCAGATCTCCACATCGTGAGTATTCTCCGTCGTCCATTCTCTATTCCCCAAAATCCATCTCTTCCTCTCAAGTAAAACTCGTTCCTCCTGTTCCCTGTCCCAAATTACTAACCGCAAGTCCATTACTCAATCTTCTTCCTCCTCCAGGTCCCACGCTTCCCCCTATCATTCCAATCGGACTACTCATATTTTCCTCCAATCTATCAATTTTACTGACGCTCGATTGTCTCCGCTTACTTATAGATTTAGAAAGTGGTGCACCATCTACAACATCTAGTGCTTCTTCATTGGGATCCCTTCGAATTCTTTCATCACCTCCTAGAATTGCGGTTTCCTCATCATCAGGCGGGAGAAGTAATTCTTCCTCGCTTTCGTCGTCGCTTGTACCACTTTTGCTAAACCCTTCCATTTCTTCTAGGTACCAAATGGGAATTGCACCAATCGCTGCGATGGTTCCGAGCAAGAAATAAGGAGTGATGATATACCCCTCTTTCAAACCCCAAGTAAAAGCAGCTCCCGACATGGCTGGTCCAATTGCTCTTCCGACTGCCGAGATGGATACTGCGAAGCCGTTCAGTGTACCTAAGATACGAAGACTAACGGCCGAATTTGTGAGGAGGATAACACAACAAGGAAAAGCGAAGATGACGGCAAAAGATTTAACTATCAAGATGGCGAAAATAATGATTTGTTGCCAAGTCGATGACTCGATGAGTGCTGTATATGGAGTAACGAAACAAATGATTGGGAATGTTACAGCGCAAACTTTGAAGCAATTCAATACACCGAATTTACGAGCTGCGGGTGGGAAAATAACGAATTGGATAAAGCCACCCACGACACCGTAGAGGGTAAAAATTGTACCGATTCTGCCGGAATGAAGACCGAAACCACCCGAGAATCGGAATGGGAGTTGGGTATTTGATGGATCGTGAATTTGACGAGGATGATGCATGAAAACTGAAAGGATTTGATCATAAGAGACGGAATGAAGAGCGAGAAATGTATAGGCAATGAGATTGATAACTGATTGACGTGTGAATACTTCTCGAAGGCTTGGGCGAGTGACTGGAGCTTTTGATTTGGAAGATTCAAAGTTATCACCAAAAGATTCAGCGGTATCTGACCCAGAAGATGTAGGTCTAAGAAGTGATGCTGATGATCCATCATAGGCTGGATGCCCAGGAGTGTGGTGCCTTGGTCGAGGGTTACAACAAAGTACTTTAGAAGAGGCAACTAATT